AACCCCCTGCTCAAGCAGGAGACCCTATACCACTTCAGACAAGTGACTGTCTCTTCTTAAAAGCCTTTTTGGAAGGAAGGAAGGAAGGAAGGAAGGAAGGAAGGAAGGAAGGAAGGAAGGAAGGAAGGAAGGAAGGAAGGAAGGAAGGAAGGAAGGAAGACAGAGCGAGGGAGGGAGGGAGGGAGGAAAGAAAGAAAGAAAGAAAGAAAAGAAAAAGAAAGAAAGAAAGAAAGAAAGAAAAAGGAAGGAAGGAAGGAAAGAAAGAAAGAAAGAAAGAAAGAAAGAAAGAAAGAAAGAAAGAAAGAAAGAAAGAAAGAAAGTTCAGCCAAGTCAGAATATGGGTCCCTTCCCTAACGAAGTACGCCAAGCGTGCAACGCAACGAGGGTGTCTTTACGAGATCTCGTCCTCCTCTCCTCCTTCTCCCTTTTTCTACCCCCCTCCCTCATTTCTCCTCCTCTTCCTCCTCCACCTCCCTTGCTCCTTCCCCCCCCCATCTTCTAGATCTCCCTCTCCTTCTCGTTCTCCTTCTTCACCACCATTTTTTTCCTCCTTTAGGAAAAATTCCTTTTAGAGGGTAGCCACAGACGGAGCGGCTGATCTTCTGAGATCAGTGAGATCAGACAGTGAGCCCAGCACGGCTGTCTGCAAGGGATCAAGTCACATCTCTGGGGACCCGCATCAATCCCTGGGGCTTCTTCTGGGCATTTTGGCTTCCAATCCTGGACCGCCTGCCTCAGGATTCGGGAATTCAACTTAAGTCCTCGACTTACGACCGCAACTGAGCCCAAAATTTCCATTGCTAAACAAGACAGTTGGCCCCCTTTGTACGACCTTACTTGCAACGGTTAAGTGAATGACTGCGGTCGCTAAGCAGATCGTGCCGTTGTTAAGTGGATCCGTCTTCCCCATTGACTTTGCTTGTCAGAAGGTTGCAAAAGGGGATCCCGTGATCCCGGGACGCTGCGACCGTCATAAATACGAGTCAACTGGCAAGCGTCTGAATTTTGATCACCTGACCACGGGGACGCTGCGACGGTCGTAAGTGTGAAAAACGGTCGTAAGTCCCTTTTTCCCCCAGCGCCGTTGTAACTTCGAACAGTCACTAAATGAACTACTATTGTAAGTCGAGGACTACAACAGGCAAACCTTTCACAGAGACTAGATCCACACAACCGCTTGACCTGGGTTTAATTGACCTAGGTTCTGGGCATGCCGTAAGATTTGTGAGGCACTTAAAAGAACAAAGAAGCTAACCAAGATTAACTGGAAGCTAGTTAGCTAGCTGAACAGGTTAGACTTAATAATAATAATAATAATAATAATAATAATAATAATAATAATAATAGTAAAGTTGGAAGGGACCTTGGAGGTCATCTAGTCCAACCCCCTGCTCAGGCAGGAAACCCTACACCATTTCGGACAAATGGCTGTCCAGTCTCTTCTTGCATGTTGTGTGAACAAGGCCACTGCAGTGTAGAGTTTCCCGCCTGCTATCTTCCGTGGCGAGGTTAATATTAACTAAACTCAGCCTACTGTGACAACATCTGATGGTCTTTATTTCACCAGCTGGCTAAGATGGCAGCATCTCAATCTGAGAGTTTTTCCATAATATTATTTTTCTGTCTGGTTTGGCTTCATTTGGCTGAGTTTTTAATTGATTTATGGACCTGGACAATTCTCAAAAAGGGTTTATTTTTGAACGTTTATTTCCGAACGTCGAAATAAACATTGAGACACACTGCACCACCGTTTCTGCAAAAGATTTGCTCTGCTGAATATCCAGAACAAACCTGGTTAAGAATGTCCTGTGAACAGACCAGCCAGACCGTAAACTAGCCACTCCGCTTGGATTCCCAAGATACTAGAAAAACAGGGTTGCAGGTGTGTTAGCCAACAACCGCCTTCTCACGTCGCTTGGGTCTGAAGGAATGATTTCCTGGGTTTGCAGTCTCAAATGATCCAAAGTGCCACCAAAGAATTCGCCACACACAACACACTAAGCCATGTTTCTAAACCGTGGCAACTTGAGATGGGTGGACTTCAACTCCCAGAATAATAATAATGATGATGATGATGATGATGATGATGATGATAATAATAATAATAATAATAATAATAATAATAATAATAAAGTTGGAAGGAACCTTGGAGGTCAT